AGGTACGTTAGACTATTCGGGACCTTGCGATGGTAGACAGAACAGAAATGAGGAAATAATGTTCTGTACTGATACAAGTTGACTTTGTTAAGGAACTTTTTCTTACAGTGCATTTCACACTGTATTTTGAGTTAAACAGATTCAAAGAAAGGGTGTTAAGTGTTTTGTGTATGTCATTTAATCTTTGTCAATCCAGTTGTGAAACTAGATTACAAAGTTGGTGTAAAATTGTTTCTGCCCTTGATCGATCTTTGGTCAGACGTGTTTACAGACGGCCATAATTCCTGAAGACAACAGCTAATGTGCTGTCATCAATCGTAATGTTATCAAGCTATTTTTCTCTCATATGAGACAATGATGACCTCTCATTGAACACAATGTTGCCAGAACTCATCTCAGAGTTATTCATAGCTGCCTGCTGTTTTCATATTAGTTTTCATTACATTTTGATGGACCAGGACTTCCCCCTTAGGCCACTCTAATCCATCACATCTCTCTATCAGTGACACCAGTGTCCTTTCGTTTTGCTTTCAGAAAGCTTAGGTACCAAATTCACCAGCACTTGCAAATACACAATGGCTGCATTGTTCACACTCAGATAAGTATTAAGTATTGACCACCAGGTAACAGACACCACTGCTTCCTTATTTCTGTCATTCTGTAACATATACATGTACTACATAAAATGCTGACTCCAGCATACAGCGGTCAGCCATATGAGTCCAGATGAGTTTGGAGACTGAGAGGAAAGACTGAGGTTAAATCAGTTAGCTTGAACTTCAATCTCCACAAGGCAGAAACAATTACCATCAGCGTCCACATCCGTTTGTTATGATCTAGATGATGATAAGCAGCACACAGTTGTTCCAGTCTACCTCCACCTCTCTAGTCATTTCTTAGGGAAAACTGGCACGGCAGGTACTACATCCATTTTAGATCTCAAGGCAGTAATATACATGACAAAAGGAAATTTTAAAAAAGGAGTTTAATGCTGTAATGCACTACAATTTATATATTTGTTTATGTGTATTCAAACATTTTGTAATGGTCATACAACAGTGCAATGGTTTTGTGTTTGGTTGATTAGAACCACAAACAATACAGTGTGTTTTGTATGTCATAGTCAAGTGTGATGTAAATTGCAGATGTCTAAATATAACATACAGTACATAGAGTATACATCTTAGTATATAAATTTGTCTGATAAGAGCAACATGTATTACAGTAATGTGACACAGGGCTACATGGGATCACTTCTTATTCTATCTTCTCACTTTCTTATCACCTACCACCAATAATATCAGGCTACTTTTACTGAATGCGACATGAGAATTAACATTAGCTTTACAGTTATTCTTCATGCATGTCAGTATCCAAACTGCAAGCTCTTCACTGTAGTAGAAAGACACAGAAATTCACAAGCATATTTGTTGCTTGTGCGCATGCTTATTTGACAACAAAGAGAAGAACCTTACAAGAAACAAGAAAAGAGAGAGAGGGAAAGTGTTGGCATGCGCAGTGGACTGTGTGTGTGTGTGTGTGTGTGTGTGTGTGTGTGACGGCCATTCTGCTGTCCCGTACATTAAGCTAAGTGCTCCTCAGCTCTCCAGCAGTAGTAAATGGGGTCTTATGGCTTGAGGGGGGCTTGTCTCCCAATTCTGAATCAAAAGCAGAGAGTGTCCCAAGCCCCAGGTCACTGCTTCTGTGAATCATCAAATTCAGAGGATAAAGATAGATGCCTTTCCCTTTGTTTAGGTGTGTGCGCTTTTGTGTTGTGTGTGTGTTTGTGCACACTGTTTGCATCATTTAAAATCCTGTTCAGTATCCTTTGTGGTGAATATGATGCACAACCAGTGTCAAAGCCATGTCTCTGTGTTTAAACTCAGGAAGCAAATGCACAACCAGGCTGCACTCTTCACTGAATTTCCTACATGTTAAGCATTTTAACGTGGAGCTATTCAGATTTGGTTTTTTTTCTAAAAATGAGAATAAAGAATCAGATGAACAGGGTGTAATACATCAAAGAGCTTGCTGGTAGTCATTTCCGCAGTGGACCGAGTCTCACTGGTAATGCTGGTATAGTAGTTTGAGGGCTTTAATGATGTGAATACTGAAAAGCTGAATGTCCCTGTGCTTGCATCAGTCCGTCATCTCTTTTCCCCCCTTCCCTCACTTTCTCTAGGAACCACTCGCAGGTTTCAGAGGTGTCAGGATCTGACATAGCAGGCACACTGGCAGTCACTTTCTCACACTTCATCTAAAGAGCCTACTTATCTCTAAGAGCCTGTGTTAGGTTATGCAATTATTGTAACAGGATTGTATAATCTTTGTGTGGTATTCGCCAATAGTGTTACTCCCTCTGTTGTCATTCTTTCTGTGCTTAAACTGCATTTGAAAATCAAGGGCTTTGCTTTCTACACAGGCTACTTTATGTTGTTGCGTTAAGCTCATTAGAGTGTAAACGAGGAACACAATATTACACCATTAGCAAAAATAATTCTGTTAACATAATACCTGAACCATAAATGTGAACCACAAGCTGTAAACAGATATAGATTGTCAGAGGTGGCACACTAGGACTGCATATTTCACATACAGGTTGAATCATTATACCAACAAATACTCCTGGGGTAAGAGATGATGTAAGGTCTATACTCCAGTATATAACCCTTCTTCCATTGTGTTGTCTGTTCCATTAAAGCCGTCTCATTAACAGTGACAGAGTGAACTTTGACTGCAATCTAGATTCATAGAACCAATGTTATATTCATATTTCTGTGTCGTAGGTAGGATCTGCCAGCCTCTGGTGCCTCACAGACTCTGAAGGATCCTCAGTTGAGCTACTCTGAGGCTACTAGAAGTAACCTGAGAGTTTCCTCACTGGACTAACGAGTGCCACGAGATGAATCTCCTTTTCACCCAATAAAAGTCAGTTGCTTTAGTGCATTTCTAGAATCCTCCTTAACATTTGCAAAACAGTAAGTGCATTTCTCGAAACAGATTGTACAAACAGCACCACACAGTGGATTACGTGCAAAAGCCTGTACCCTGCTCAAATTCCTTAGTCTGTCTCTCAAAAGTAAATCTTTATGTCAGTGAACATGTCAGTGCCATCAGAATGACAAGTCCTTGTGATATTGTTAAGAAACAAGATAGTCAAAATGTTTGGCCATGTTGTCAATGTCACAATGTACTCTGTAAGTAAAGTTTGGATGACAATGATTGAAAATGCACAAGGCTGCACTTTTTCAGTATGGCATATAATTATTTCAAAAGTACAAAGGTATACATTGCAATAGGTTGGACATAGCTACACTTTTACTGTTTGTACTGTACTGTTTGTTGACAGAGAATGCCATCGTGATACAGAAAAGAAAGACACAAAAAGCCTAATAGACATGTATAGAAACATGCTTGACAGATTATAACATGTTCAACCATTTTGCATGTAGTGACTTACGCAATGAACTTATGCCTAATTATTTTGCTGGGGAAGACTATTCAACAGAGAAGTATAATACATTGCGATCCACATGACATGAGGAATTGATAATGTAGGAAACAGCAGATAATTGTACATAATCATTTGCATCAGTGTGTCAAAGCATTTGCAATATGTTTAAAATAATCAGAATTTGCTTTTATGATGTGCACAGGTGACGAGATGATGTGGAGGTTGAACAAGTAGTTTTGAGAATTTCAGTTCGGACCTGAGAAATGTACCAAAGCAACTGAGAAAACCGCATTGCAAACCTTTTCATGTATGATCCATTTGATGCCTTACTTAGCTCTGTCTTTCTGCTGAATGAGTGAAGTCAGTAAGAGAACAATCTCAAGGTTTTTGTTCTAGTACCATGAAACACTGTGTTATGAATGTTGGCTATGCATATATGTGGCTACATTTGGTTAATTCTCTGGACAAACTTGCCTCCTGTAATTAATGATTAAATGAATGTACAATTCCTGTAGTGGTTTATGGAGTGCCTGAGATGCTTATGTTGTTTAGAATGGCCATATTATATTGTACTGTTGTGTTATTCTCCTTATAGTATAATACCCCAAACACATTTTGGACCATCATGTTCTTATCTAATGGACAATCCATTTCTTACTTGCTGTACTATTTCCTGGAAAGTTCAGCATGTGGAGCACAGTTTAAGGGTTATGGAGAGACTTTGACGACAATAAGGTAGGCTGTAGAGGGAAGCTTGTTATTTTGATTTTTTAAATTTTGCCTTTATTTAACCATTATGCACCGAAATTTAAATTTACACCTTTACAGAATTGTCGAATTTTTCACGACAAGTGTGATCACTATGGCATCAGCACCCAAACCTGGCGCACTCTTACTAATCTATCAGGTGTCGGTCAGCACCACGGACAGAGGCAGTAGTTGAAATGCAACGAGCGGCTTCATAGTCGACTCTGCATATCAAGGTACTTTGAAGTCCCAGACAGCTCTACTTTTATGAAAGCGGTTATGTTTGAAGATGACTGAACGCACTGAATTGCGAAAAAAAAAGACGAATGGCTGAGTTCACAGAATTTAGATCTAAAGACCATTCTTGCATCTCTTACGTGGATCTGTCAAAAACTTTTAAATTAAGCACCAATTTTTGCCCGAACGGACAACTTTTGCCCTCTAGTAGAAGCCCAGACCTATTTATCACGTACTATAACCACTCTCCCAAACTGAAAGAAATACTGTTCATACGCACTGTGGGTTTCACTCATGGCAAATGGACAAAACAACCGAATCGCCGACTGTATATAGTCTGCTTAAATTTAGACCTTTCTTATCTGTTTAGCATTCGTGCGTTGCAGTGTTTCACGTCATTCAGTCCCCTAACTAGATTGTTCCATCAGACGGAATTACCCGCATCACTCAATGAAGTACAATTATTGATTACCCTGGCCGTCTCTCCCTCTCTCCACCCCTCCCTCTCTCCCACCACAGTCTCTCTCTTTCGCTCTCTCCTTTCCTAAAGTACTGCAGCGAGGGAGGACTGCATCGAAAAAAATCGTGCGCTGGCCATTACCCTGATCCTATTACAGTAACAAAAAAACCCAACATAAGATTTTTTTTTCTTCCATAAAGCTAAACCCGTGTCTGATGCAATGGGTAACTATCAGTTTAGTCCACTCTTCTCGCCATAAATAACGGTAAGTAATAACTACTTTTTCCCTGAAAACGTGCTGACTGTGTAACACTTCCGAGTTAGAGAAATACTAGTAGTTTTATATAATCCTGGTCTTATTTTATTTTTTAAATTTATTTTAATAAGCAAAACAGGTCATGTTGTTTTTGTGTTTGCATCTTTCCAATTATATCTCTAACATCTAAGCTGGCAGACAGAAATGCCTCATTATTTATTCATACGTTTGCCTATCATTTGTTAAAAGTTGGGATGGTGTTTTTTTCTCTGTGGGTAGTAATTGTCATCATTCATTGAAAGTAGCACAAGAATTGCCTCTTATCTCATATATAGGCTAGCTACAGGGATGCGGTATTAAATTGTGGAATGCATTCATTTTGTATTTAAGAGTGGCATAAATGCTTCTGTAAATCCATGGCATCAAAAATCCTTTTTAAGATACGCGAGTAAGGTCTGTCAATCGATTCAGTTGAACTTGGTTGTTTGGTGTATGATGATCACTGACTAGAGCTCATAGTTTACCCATCTTTTTATACACCAGCATGTTTTTAGGGAAACGCTTGTCCATTGCAGAGTTTTGGGTTTGTTGGCTGCGCACTGTGCTTTCTGTAGTGCAATCCAGCCACCTGCCCTGGGGCAGTTAAAGCACTCTGCACTGCCGCCAAAAAAAGGAGAGGATGCGGGAGCTTGCGACTGACTCATCCGTGAATTGCACCTCAAGAGGCAGTGAGCGATTGACAGGCACACAGCCGGTGAACTGGAAATGTGTGGCAAAGTGCTTTGTTTGCAATCTGAATGTTGCTGTAGCAGTCCTGCTGGGTTAACATTGGAGGCCTTTGTCAACGAAAAAGTAGATGAGGTAAAGTGATTGCAGGTTGCGCAATTCGCTCCTTCTGGCACACTTCTCATTGATTTCAAGTTGATGTAGTTTTTTTCTGCGATGGTAAACAGTAATCTCATTGTAATTCAGAATGACCCTCGCCTGCATTCAATAACATCTCCTTCTCAAGCATCATCTGACCTGTTATTGTGTTAGACTAAAGTTTATGCAGCATCACACAAGCTACTTTGAGAGGAAGACATTTTCTATTCCAGTGCTTCACTGTTGAAAGGACTCAACAAAGTAGGCTCTGCCACTGACAATGTGGTAGATGTGAGAGTTTCACAAAAAAAAAACATCTGTGTGTACATTTTGTTGACATACAGTCAATAAGTGAATTAACAGATTATCATTATTTAATGGGCAAGTTAAACTAAATAGCATAGTTTACATTACATTCAAATTTGTCATCCCCATGTCTCAGAATGAGAGAGCATGATTTCCTTTCTGAAAGGGACTGAAGATGTTTTTTCTTTCCTGTAAATTCTTACAAACTTTGTGAATTTCAGGTACACATATACACATCCACCATGCATCATGTGAAACAGTTTGACAAAATGAACAATTTAATTGTATTCGTAATTCACCAGTCAATGTCCCACAGCTTGGATCCCTCCTGTAATCGCAACATGAAGTGTAAGGTCCAGATCCAGACAGTGGTGGTAGCACGTTTTGTTTTGTATCTGCTATGTAAGCAGTCTATTGTGTCAGCAGTGAGGTCTGGCAAGGCGGGGAGACCATATGTTTACCAAGAAGATCAAACAGACACCAGCTGGATGCAAAAAAGAAATAGACACACACTTTACTCTCTATAAATCTGGGATGGGAAATGTTCTTTTATTATCTACAACTTCAAAATATGTTTTCTTTCTGTCTGTACAGATGAAACATTTTATTATTTAAACAGTTACACAGTGCTGAACACATTTTTCTGAATAAATGCATTCTGTTATTATTTTCATATAATTTTTTAGCTAAGATGGACACCCAAGTGATTAAAGTCACTGCTAATATTACCAATGATAGCTTCTTATGACGTCAACTTGCTACTGCTTTATGAATCTGTGTGATGCAGCATCAGCATGGCTTGTAATTAGCTCTGCTTTTGAAGTTTTTATCTTCAGTGCTGGAGCTTTGAAAGATGTTTTATCATTTTATTCTGTTCTAATGTGGTGGAACCATTTGCAGAAACAACAGTTTTCCTCCTGCATTTATTCTGTTGTTACTGTAATACTTCTGAAATACTGCCCCACCTCCCTCTCGTCCTCTCTCTGCTCCTCCACTCAGTCAGTAATGGCATCAGTGTTTGATGAAATCCCCTAACGGAAGACGTCCCGGGCTGGTTGTGCCTCTGCCTTCCAGATGAGGTCATGGGCTCTCCGTTTTGATGGGATTACATGCGGCTCTGCCCACTTAGAGATTGGACCTGCTCTTTCTGATGCTAATAGAACAAACCAGCCGTCAAGCCACTGTGCCTGCACACGTCTTTGAAAGGGCAGGACACTGACAAGTCAAACCTGACTGAGATAGAAAGCATTTGTGGTTCCTTTGGGGCATATGAAATAAACTGTAAAACTGGTTCAATATATAATGCACATGATATTTAAAAATAAGAAAGAAAGGCAGAAAATTGCCACTTCAGAAAGCATTTTTAGAGAGGCAACCATAATAATAGTTGTTGTTTTATAAAAAATAGAAGCCTAAACAAATCACTACTGATTTTCCTTCAAGTTCTCATAAAAATAGGCTATTATTTGTCTACTAGGACCAGATTTTGTTTTTTTACTTTCTTCGACCTGCTTGTACATACCAATCGGTTTGGTGGCTGCTGGACTCGAGGCAGATCGGCATCAACAATGACATTAGTCCTTTTGGCAAAGTGCATTGCTGGAAACCCTTATTGTGCTGATAATTACTTCATTATTTTTTTTAAGTTCTTCTCACTAAGGGTGTTAATTACCACGGTCATTATTACAATGTTACATTGTGTGATTATTCAAATTCTTTCTTTCAAAATACTCATTAGCAGCGTCATTACTGTGCGTCTTTTGGCTAATGATTCATGATAAACAATGAAAGTCCAACACACATACTGTGGATATTAACATACATTTTTTACATTTCCCAAATCGCTTGCCCTGAGTTGGATGACAAACACTCCTGTGTAACTCTAATCTCTTCATTTGTCTTCATGTTCATGCACGAGGAAATTTGGTCCAAGTGATACTTGAACTAGGGTTTTTTAGTATTCTAAAGAGGTTGAAGGAAAGCAGGGCCGCTATCCATCATGCAGACAGGGGCAGCAAGGCCTATTTTCAGCCATCCTCACATGGTTCACAGTAACAGTACATGCACTATTTTAACTCTCTTTGTTCTAATTTTAGAGAACAGCTATGCCCAGGGACAGTGTATGGATACAGCTTCTGTATGTTCCAGTACATTTCTCATCACCATGTTGGTTTGTTATCAATAGAAATATGTAATCAAATGCAATGAGGTAAAGATGATATGTATAATAGAAAAAAAAACTTGGTAGTAGTAGTAGTAGTTTTATGATGCTGGATTTACTACTAGGGTAAATGTTGATGTTGTGCCTGATTTTTAGGCTTAGGTGAAAACAGTATGTTAGACTAGTGAGCTGGTTATGGTCTAAAAATGCACGGTTGAAAGAATTAATATTTTCTGACAAACAGGGATCAGAGGAAACAATAGACGCTCCAGGGGAAGCCTGAAAAAGAAGCAGAAAATAAAGAAGATGCAGAAAGGATGGAATGGGGTGGAGCAGCATAAAATAAAACACAGAATGGTTTGTTTGGGAGTGTCAGTGGTTACCCAATTTGATTGTGATTGCTCTCGTTGCTCGGCCTGTCTGGGTCTGCTGTCAGGGTCTCGTCAGCTGTGGTCAGGTGAGGTTGGTCGTCTGTGTGTTTTGGGTGTCCTCTGAGCTTCATCATCACTGACAGCGGGTCTCACCATACACTCCATTGATTCTCTGACAGGCAGGCTCCACCAGGATACATCCCCTTTTGCCAGTGTGTGTATGTGTGCACGCTCATTTTAAGCAAAAATGATGTGCGATAGCCAACATGACCTGTTCCAAACAATAAATAGCATCAATTCAGTGACACCACTGAACTCATGACATGCTTCTGGCAGAGTGTTAGTCTACGGAGGCATTGAAAATTTGTTTTATTTTAAGATGCAGTCAATAGAAAAGTGTAACACATGTCAAAAAGCGACAATGTTCCACGCTCAAGAAAAATAGTTTAAGAAACCCTATAAAATGTGTAGGATAGCACTATTCTGTAGAGGTTATTAATATACAGGGAAAAAAGAGGGAAAAAACAGAAAATCATGCAACCAGTCATACGTTAACCCTGTGCAATGTGCACCACACCAATAAGGTGAGCAACTGAAAGAAAGGAAACAGATAATATGCTAAAAAGTTGTCTTTATGCATCATCCTTTAGGACAATATCTGAGGCACCACCGGTGTCAATGGCGGTATTAAAAAATGATCAGTCCAAGTGCAAAGGAGTGTGCTCAAAAGCATAGAAGTCATCCAATGAGCCAACAGGGATTAGTAGAGTCACCTTGAATCAGCATTGTCATTTTGCCCAGTAAAATTGCATTATGGGAGCTGGAGCTGGCCCAGTGATTTGTGTCCTCCTGACAAGGCTTCAGTGTTCATTAGAGGATGTGGTGAGCAGCTCCTAGACACACGGGAATCGTACACACTGGACAGCTCTGACCACACACACACGCACACACACTGGAAATTTCCACCCAACTCTTAAATATGCACACTATGCTATCTGGAAATGTTTTATTTAAAAATAGCAATTTAGGATTTTTTCATTTAACTGACTGAATTTCACAACATTTTTTGGTTTGTTTTAGTAATGGTTATGTCTCTGTGACATGACAAATTTAGAATAAACAAGCAAGAGTGAACTTGTGGAGGCGATGTGATGATGAACTGTGGATCACAGTTTGAACACTCACATGACATCATGTTACATAATTTGCACTGCTAGACTGGGGTCTCCCTCCCATCAGCACTGGCCTGCCAAGATGGGAAAGGGTTTCCCCATCCTGTGAGCGCATCCTGTGCATGGCATGTTTTTCGGTGTGCGAGAGAGTCTTTCTGCGTGTCTATTTATGTTTACTTCTTGCAAGTATGTTTGACCCAGTTTATGTGTTAAAGACACCACAGTCAGGCGCCTTAGAGAATAGCTATTGTGTGTGTGTGTGTGTGTGTGTTTCTACTATGTGCCTGTGTTTGTGCATTTATCTACGTATCCGCTCATGACCATTTCTCCTTTGCTCCTTTCTTTGCACGGATTAAATATGACAGTGCCGTTCCGGTTGGATCGTCTCTCCCATTATAATAAACCAGCTCTTTATTGGGGGCAAATTGATTTCGGGCAGAGCCTTGTTTATTAGCTTCTGTTTCTCAGAGCTGATCATGAGTCAGCAGATTCAGCATCTCTGTTTAAAACAATCATCTCTTCAAATCCAAGTCCAACTCATGAAATATAGAAGCAGGAGAGTGCCCCTGGAAATTGAATATTCATTTTGAATAAAAAATGAGAGCTAATACAGCCAAAGCCTTTCTCCTCAAATCACTCCAACGGATTAAACTGCCTACTGAATGATTAAAGAGGTCTTGTCAGTGGGGTGTCACCTGTTAACCTGGGATTGTTACAGATATAGAGGAGGAGAAATTAGTTAATTCATAAGTCATAAGTCAACAATTACAGTGAAGCAGTATATGAGCTCAACAATGCTCAAAACAAAACAAAAATGCATTTAAGCAAGACATGAATGTGCAAAAGCTAAAATATAGGAAATACACATAAATATATATACTGTGATGGTTTATACACATAAAGATACAGTATATACACACACACACATACAGTCCTGTTATTGGAGACGGGGGCATGTCCTTCTTCCTGTAATCCACAATCAGCTCCTTTTTTTTGCTGACGTTCAGATGGAGGTTGTTGTCCTGGCACCAAGATGTCAGACCTCCTCTCTGTAGGCTGTTTCGAAGTGAGTGCTACTGGTGGTCATTCAGTTGGAAGGTTTTGGAATATTCTGGGGAAAGGGACAATAGTGGTCTCCTTGAAAAGTGACCAATGTTGAAAATGTCTGTCTCCATCAGTTAATGTGAACACACCCTGAGATTCTTCAGATTCAGATGTGAGTAGTGGGCAGGGGTCGTGGGCTTTTGCTCCTCCTCAGCCAGGGAGTTGCTTTCAAAGCGTGCATAGATGTTCAGCTCATCTGGGAGAGATGCAGACATTGTTTCATCACTGCTGGTTTTTCTTTTGTATTCTGAGTCTGACTTATAGGCACTATCTGATGAACATTTCCCTCTCTTTTAATTCCTTCCTTCCTTCTTCTCTCCATACTCTCCCTTGTCCTTCCTCCTGCTTGTTCTCACTTTTTTTCATCTGTCTCCTGCCATTCCCCCAGCTCTCTCAGCCTGGCCGATGATTGCCACAGTAATTGTTGGTTATCTCCCGTGGTGACTGCAGAGTCAAGAGTTTTCTTCCCTGCTGCATCTCAAGACCCACCATTCCTGCAATTCCACGGTTTGCGTACACTCACCCCTCTTGCCCCTCTTCCCTCTTTCTTCTACTTCTAAGTACCCTCTGAGCCCCAGTGAAGACCTACTGGTGGAGCCAGAATGGAGGACACTTACAATAACAGGACTTCCCTGGCTAAGGGGGCCAAGGACATGGCCAAGGAGGTCAAGCGGCATGCAGCAAAGAAAGTCAACAAGGTGGTGGACCGCGCCACAGACGAGTACTCATCCCACCGCAACTACAGCCGATTCCAGGATGAGGAGGACGAAGAAGAGGATTTCTACCGGAACCCCCCGAGGCAGGATGGAGAGGGCTACCACGAAAACGAGGAGGGCTCCAGCGATGCCACAGAGGGCCACGATGATGAGGATGAGATCTATGAGGGCGAGTACCAGGGGATCCCCTCTGCAGGAGATAGGAAGCATAAGGAGGGCCAGGTGGCGCTGGGGCAACCGATGTCAGATGCTACAAGGGACCGTAAGGGGCTGGAGGAGGAGAGACAGGCGGATGAGGAGGAGCTGGCCCAACAATACGAGCTGATCATCCAGGAGTGTGGTCACGGGAGGTTCCAGTGGCAGCTCTTCCTGGTACTCGGGCTGGCACTCATGTCAGATGGAGTGGAGGTGTTCGTGGTGGGTTTTGTGCTGCCCAGCGCAGAGACAGACATGTGTGTGCCCAACTCCAGCTCGGGATGGCTAGGTAAGGGACCCTGTGTGTGTTTAAGGTTTGTTGAATGTGCATGCACCTACTTGTGCTAGCGGGAAATCATGCAATTCCTTCAATATGAATTAAAGTGCAGGCATTTGATTAGTTTTCATGATTCTAAATATGATTTTGACCCGTAGGACCTAAAAGTCAGGACATCTCAACCTCTGCTGCGCAGATTTTTAGAATCTGTCCTTCACAAGTTCAAACACTTTGTGGAGTAGACAGACTAAATCAGTGAAGTACCCCTTTAAGTAACTTGTCAATGGTCCCAATGCTATTAAAAATGCTATGATTAGGACATTCTCTAATCAGTACGATGGATATGTTTTTTTGGCACAGCAGAAGAACTTCCTTGTAAAATGACGATGTTCTTTTTCTGGTAGTCTGGCCACCTGTCCTTGGATGTAAATGGGCTATTGAAAGACATTCCACATACTAAATAGTATACACTGAGGATATTCTATACATTATTTAATCGTATTGAATAATTCAGACAGAACTACATCCAAAACAAACCATTTTCGTGTGCAGGTATACTTCAGTTTGTTATTTTACCAGTGTAACCATGTTACATATTAAAATCATGGGCCACACTACCTTCTGAGGGATGTTGTTTGTCTTAAAAGATAGGATTAGTTCTGCATGTTTGTCCTATACATCAAACTCTTTATCCTAGTAGCGTTTCACATGGATGAGGTTTTTCGGTCCACTGGTCTCCATGTCAGGATTAAGAGGGTAGCTAGTGTAACCTGTGTGCTCTATGTGTTGAGCTGGAGTCCCAGCAGTCCTGATGGCTGCAGGTGTATAATCCATCACCACAGAGCTGTGTACAGGGGCTGACTCACTGTGTCAGTACCAGAGTGGCAAGACAATCCATTCAGGTACGCAGACCACTGCCATAGTGAGAAATGATAATTCATCAACTGCACCGCAACATCTGATTGAAAACTGATATGGCAAGGTGTTTTTAGAGAACAGAGATTGTGACTGAAAGCTGGAAAAAAAAATTGTTATAAAATTACAATTGGTGGAAGTGTGAAATAAGAAATCCAAGCACCCTGTTTTATGTAAATGATCTTAGTGTCATATATACTTTTACATACATACTGTTGATCAACATGTTTGTTCATTTAACCAATCCAGATAGCAAAAATTAATTCTTTATTGCATCTAACAACACTAAAAGCATAGATTTCTCATCTTGGAAGTCTGAATATCATACTGTATTATATAGACATGATAAAAGAGTTTGCCAACATATGTCTGTATGGGGTTGTCACTGTATCCTCACAAGATGTTGTGTACAGTGCACCTTCATTTTTCTGTCTCATTCCAAGTGTCCATGTAAACTCTTTTCTTCCTCTCTATACAAGCAAAGTCCTGCAGGCATTCATGCACTACGCTCTGCTTCTCCTTGTTCGTGACTCTATCTCTCACCCTCCGTTCTCTATGTGCATCTCTTTTCTTCTCCCATCCTCCTCCATTCCCCTCTCTTTTCTCCTACTGATTAGCCCGAGGCTCCTCCCTGTTGAGGTGAACATGATTGGTGTGTGTGTGTGTGTGTGTGTGCGCGAGCATAGCCTACATGATTACTATGACCTTGTTGGTATCCATTTGGAGTTTTCCAGTGGTGATTACACTTAATTACAGCCAACAAAATGAAGTGAATTGATGTTTTACAGGTGCCATGGCAATATTTTATTACCTAGAAGTGGAGGAAAAAAAACAACAGCTAGGTAAATCTCTAGATGAATTAGGGTGGTCTCATTTTTCATGTATAGCATATAACCTTTATTTAATCAAGCAGAACTAAAAGGTTCGTTTCTGCAGCCTTACAATAAGACGTCCTTGTTGGTCTGGTGGTGGCGATAAAAAATGGCTTTCTGGGGGCACAGGAGCCAGACCAGACACCACTGCATAGACCTGGATACAGAAGTGGTATTCGCATGTGGGAAGCCAGTTAGACATTATGACCTTATTGCAGCTGTCCTAGTGACTCATACTGGTGACACTTCTCACTTGGTGGGTTTCCATACACTTAACTAATCAGGTTACAGTCAACTTTCCCTGTACTGTATACAAGATAATATAATATAATAATATAATAATATATAATAATGTAATTTGGATATGGGATTAGAGAAACCGATTTCCCCAGCAAGATTACATAAGAAAAAAAATATTTATTGGCCATGTATATGTGTGATCACTTTTTAAAATGTGTGAGCAGATGCATGGCATAGACTTTAGGCAAAAGTATCTCTGTGACAGCAGACAGAGGGTGAAAGAAAAGATCTTTGTAAGTTGCATTCAAAATGCTTCCATCCAAACTGTGATAAAACTTAAACTAACTTCCTGCATATTGCATCACTATTACAGTTAAAGTAAGTAATACTTCCAAAAGTATTGTGCGCATGTAAGTGTACTGACTGGCAGGTGGAAAGAAGTGGATGGTGATTCCATGTGTGTCAGAAGAGGCAAGTGGCTGTCTACATGGGCAACAATGGAGCTGAAAAGTGGAACAGGTCATTCTATAGGAATTTAAACATCACCCCAGCTCCCCAAAAATCAAACAGCTATCAAATAAATTAATTCTAAAAATAATAAAAATTTGAAAACATAGTTGACTACAGCAGATTTGGTGTTTGTTTAGTTCCACCTGAGCTGCACTCTCATCATAGTTGCAGTGTGCAGGTCCATTAACCACATAACAGGCAGAGACAGACGCATGCTGCACGGACTGAGCCGAGCATAATGGCATAATGCAGTATGAAAAACGCAAAGGCCTGAATAGGATGGATGACTGAAATGCTGATTAGATTACAGAATTCAATTTGGTCCTTCTAGCATCCTGATCTCACAGGAATCTTTACAGCAATGCTTTAACACGGGAATGAAGGCTGGAGAGTTGGTTATGTGAAGGGGTGAAACAATTAAATGAGAGTGTACGATGTGGGAAGGAAGCGGGGGGGGGGGGGGGGGGGGACACAAGGGCGCTTTGAGATGCAATATGAGTGATGAACAGGAAAGAGTAGAGGAGGAAGAATGAGAGATTGCCAAGTTAGAGAGAAGAAATGAGGACAGCGGTGTGGGTGGATGGGAGCAGGGAGGTGGCAGATTGGTGGTATTCAGTACACCAACAATGTGAGGGAGAGGCTCAGCTATCATCTCAGACACAACAGACAATGGCAACACATCACCCTATCATTACTTATTTGTTCTCTTAGGCTGCCTTTCCCCTGCTGAGACTCCCCTCATTTCTTCCTCTGACTCTGAACTCGTCTCTCCTCCTTTTTGTCCACCTCTCCTGCTCTGCCATCGATACTTTCCCCCTCCTTTCTTGTTTCCTCTTCTTCTCCTTTTCATTCTTACTTCCCTGTCTTCTGATCTCTTGTACCTTTTTCTTACTCGGGGCTGTCTGTGTCCCAGCTTCACTCTCTGTCTCCTCTCAAGCGCCATTCTCTACAGTACTTTCCCCTCTTTGTCTCTTTTCTTTTCCCATCATTCCCCCTCTTTCTCGCTGTCTGTATGAGCCAGCTGGCAGGCTGTGTGAGGCTGTGTGGTCCAGGGGCAGCTGAGCATGGCTAAACTGCAGTCAGATTGCAGAGTCACTGCGGAGATTACACTACTTGAGTAGTGCCGCTCCACATTGTGTGGGAGAATGCGTGTGTGGGGGAGAAAGGAAAGGGGGATTGTGTGACAGGACTGAGTGTGTGTGTGTGTGTGTGTGTGTGCATATGGACCAAACCTACTGCCCCCAGCAAGATCAGCCACAAGTAAACCATGTCTAACTGGTAGCTCTTATCAGTGGTTCATAGCATCACTATATTTCATGCAAATTATCCACAGTCTTTAATGTAATGGACGTTGTATCATTACTGTTGCTGAGTGAGTCATTTTAAACCCTGCGCTCTTAGCCCTACAATAGGTTACTTTGATATAGATCTCATTGAAATCCTGCCCCCACTGATATGACTTAAGTGTGACAAAAAGCTTCAATCTGTTTTTCTGTGGAGGTGGCAGAAGACAGAGGCATGAATCCGATCAAACTGACACGATGTAGTACAAATGTGATTACACGCTGCTCAGTGTAAAATGGGCCGGTGACAGTGGAGCAAAGCAGAAACTAAGAAAAATAAATGAGAGTGAAGCACAGAGGAGAAGAGAGGAACAGGAGTGAAAAGGGGAGAAAAGGAGGAGAAATGAGAAAGGGAAATGTGAAGCGAGTCAAGAAATTGAAAAGCAATAGGAGAGGAGACAAGCTGGGAGAAAGGGCAATGGAGGAAAGGTTGGGGAGAAAGGCTCGAAAGGAGAGGACAGGTGAAGAAAGGGGAGATGAGATAGAATAAGATCAAAGTAGCAATGATTGAGAGAAAGAGAGAAACAGAAAGAATGAGTAGAGAAATATCACACTGGAAGAGATACCACAGTGTTGCTGTAGCACGCACCAGCCACGCTGTTGCATGATAGTATCATCATTATGAATAAAACAGGATGGGTGTTTTGCGCGACGCTGAAACAGTTTGCACCGCTAAGAGCGAAGAGCATCAAAGCATGAAATCAGAGAAGAGGTCGTGATGCAGCTCAGCGCTACCACAGCTCTCAGGGAGCTCCTCAGGATGTGACAAGACAGAAACCACTGCACCAGGGCCTTTCCCCTTCCTCACCTCGATCCTCTCGTTCTCTCACCCTATCTGGCAATTACCGAACTCTCCTCCGTCATTACCCTTTTTTACCCTCTCTATTATTCCCCTCCCTGCCCCCCTTCATTCCATCCACTTGCATTTGCTTGCTCCAGTATAATCTTTTTTTATTTGTCTTCCCTGCTTCATCTTGTTCCCCAGTGGCTAGTTTAGCTACACCAAAAGAGATTCAATACATTTGTAATAGTTTTATCTGTGAATTAGATGCACTCTTTCACCCTGTGTGTGTGTGTTTGCGTGTCTGTGATTGTAGCTGTGTTTTACTCCTTGTCTTAGACTGAAACACCA